TTTAGCTGATTATGATTTATTCTATTGAAAAGTTATCGGGGTTGTAACACGTTAAAAAGCTGAGGATAACGTCCTTATTCTGAAAACATTTGCACATAAATGCGATGAGACCCTGGTAATGTTCTCCATGCATAGCTGACACTAATTAGATGGCAGGGAAGGGGATTATTCGGGTAAACAGAGGATGAGATAACAAATCTAGTGCAAAGAGCTATATGTGACACTCCCAAATGATCCGAGCACAGACAGACTCAGAGCCCTGAGTAACTGCTCACATAAAGCTGGGAACATTTTTACGTATACCCCCGAATGTAGCGGCAAATTGAAGTGTCTGCTAAACAAGTTTCAACCTTCTTTTATGTCCTTATGAAATCAAAGTAGGAGTTATTGCATCACTGTGGCCCAGCAAACTTCCACTGTGTAAATCCGAGGTTATTTTAGCCCCGCTGTAAAGTCAGCGGGGTTAAGTGTGGACTTATTTATGGAGCTTTCTGTGGAGATCAAATGTCAAATGTCACAGCATGTATCAAGATTATTGGAAAACAAAGCGTCAAAATACAAAAAAGGGACAAAAAGCTGGCTCACTGGAGTCACTGCATTGTTTTTCCTTGACTTTTCATTGTGTGAGGGGTTCTGCTTGGCCTGTCACAACTTACAGCTTTCTCATTCATCACAATCATTTGAAATGATTTTAGTTAGCGTCAGCTGGGAGAAACTTTCAAAATTGTCATGCACATTGTTTTACAGCAATTAGCCGAGCTGAGTGACTGACAGAGCGACCGCCTGGTTAATTGCACCGCCTTACTAAACGCCTGTCATCTGCTGGAAGCGTACAGTGTTCTGCATAATGTTTCTGGACAACGTTCTCCTTTGAGGTCTCTCTCTCCTCCCCGCCGGAAACTCTAAATCAAACAATCCAGACGTGATTAAAGTGCACATTCCAGACTTTAATGTCAAGTCTTTTCCAAACATTTAATTTCCACACGCGGAAGGGTTCATTGTGCTGTTGCTTTCAGCAGTTCCATCATCAGTGGAGGAAAGTGTGGTCGCAGCTGTGGCAGCCATGCCCAAACCATAACACCCCCACCCCCGTGTTTAACAGAGAGGCTCCGCTTTGGATCTCGGGCAGTTAATTTCCACTTGTTCTCCTCGCCAGCACTTCACAGAAACATACAGGTTGGTTTTGCGCTCGTTTGTCCAGAACCACTTTTCATTCAGTCGGTCATTGTATTTTGCGGCTAATTAGTGGTTTCCATATGGCAGTGTTCAGAGGAAAGCACTCTGAAAAAGAAACACCTGCCTCTTGAAGACCACTTCTGAATGGTTGGACAGGACTTTGAGGATATATTTCTTCACCATAATGAGGATTTTTGTCTCTTCAAAAGTGGAGGCCTTTCTTGGCCCTTTGTGATCACAGAGTTCACTATTCACCTTCCATCTTCTTAATGATCTCCCTGACAGTTGATTTTGGCGATCCTTTGCTTTGACCGATGTCTCTAATGATGCTATTCTTATTGTTCATCCTCAAGATGGCTTCCTTCACTTGCACTTCTGCAGATTCTACACGGTAGAGCCCTTTATCATCACCCCTGCACTAGCTAAGCAGTTACTCAGACCTGTGTAAACAGCGGAAAATCCAACTGTCCCAAACGTTAGGAGCTTGGAAATGATGGAAACAACGTATAAGAACTGAATGTCCGAACTGAAAATTTATCAGAACGACTTTGAATTAAAGCCTAGGGTGAGCAGCTCGGAGCGTTCGGATCGCTGTACCAGCAAACCGCCTTTAACAGTCAGTCACTTTTCTATCCACATACTGAGGCATTTAAGATTAGACTGTGTTTCCAAAATTACAGAGATTATTTTTTTTTGCAGGATGAAAAATGATATACTTTAGATTGTAGTAGTTCTGGAAAGTGCAGCTACCTGATTTGCAGAGCATTTGCAGTGTGTTGACTGGTTCAGTCATGGACACATTCAGCATCTAAAGCAGTCAGCATGTGTGTTCAAGAGTAAAAATGGTTCTAATTGATTTCCATTGAAATTTTACGAGCATAAATACAAATATCAGGAGAATGAAATGAGTGATATAATTTACTTTTTAAATGTAGACGGAGAAGGGTGATAATGTAATTAATGTAAGCAGTGATGATAAAATGGTTGTTACATAAAAAACCCTTTCTGAGAGCTAATTGGTTTACTTCGGTCAGACTTCACCTATTTTGTTATATTTCCCAAAACTGTTACTGTAGTATGGTAACAGTTAATTTGTCCTAATCAACATGAAATGAGTCACATTAGGTTTGTGTGCGGATTGACTTTACATTTTCCAGCCAACAAATGAAATTGAACGGCAAACTGAAAACGCTGGCCCCAAACCTCGGCAGCATTTGACTCCATGCTGGGCACCGCGCTAAATTACGCTGTAATTATTCAGGTAAAAAATGATCACTGACACCCCACACACCCGCCGGTCCTCTGGAGGGAGCCGAACAAGGAGTGTGTTTGCCATGACAGATGAGCCGGATCTCCCTCCATGTGTTCAGAGAAGATGACATTCCCGGGCAGCCCTGGCTTCAGATCCTAGCTCTCTGTTCCCAGGTGATGGGACTTTTGCGGGGGGGGAGGAGCATGCGGGCGTCATTTACTGAAGCAGCGGGGAATAATATAGTGCCAGCGTTTGAATGTGTCAGGTCCCATATCTCTGGCTGTTCTATTAGAAATAGACCTCGGTGCAGTGACAATTAACCTCTGGCCCCAGCAGCAGATCTGCGCTGTAACAACCCAGCTAGGAGAAATAAATCAAACCCATTGGGAGAAAAAAAAAAAAAAAGGGCACTGCCTCCCCTCAGGTTTTTACTACTGTATCACTCAATGGGCCGAGCTTACACGTGCTCCACCTTTATCACATAATCGCTGAAGATCGGAGTGATGTTATGGGTTGGCTGTAGGCAAGTACGTTCTGTGAGTCTGATTGTGCTGCCGTTCACCTTCTCTGACAGAGTGTGTCCTTCTACAGCAAAGATGTCTCTTTTTGATAGTAGTCAGTGGGCTGGCTCTCAGTAAGGCAGACCGAACATGAGGCTCAAAGCGTCAAAATGGAGACGGGTGGAGCAGCTCGTTTGGCTTTAGCTCCGTAGCTGTGCCAAATATATTGTTTAGGCATTTTATATCTGCTTTGAAGCGTGTATAGATTAATTAAAGTGCAAGTTATTTTTTGATGAACAGTAAAGTGCCTTCATGACTCTGAACACCCAGAAAAAAAAAAACCTGAAGTGGCTTTCCAAACCCATTAATCCTGCTTTGTAGTAGCTTTAAGTCCAAGAGATCCCAAGAGTCGTGTTCTTTCCATCAGATATAAAGTTAACTAAGGCCTGAAATTGAGAAGCTGACAGTTTAAAGAGAGGAAAACGGCAGGGACGAATAAAAAGTCCACGATGAAACATTTAGCGCGTAAGCTGAGGCTGTCAGTACAAAAAGCAGGAAATTGGTCGGAAAAAAACAAAAACAAAACCAAGATCCAAGGGAGGTCCAAATTAATCCCAAAGCACACAGTGAGCTACTTACAAAAGCCTAGCAGCAACAAGGAATTCAAAACAAAGTTTTCTACAAAGAGCACAGAGATCTGAAAACAGTGGGTGAACCATATGAGGTACATACACAAAAAGCTGATGGAGCTCAAGTAAGAAAACACAAGAAGAGTATTTAGAATAGCACACAATGCATAAACACAAAAACAGAAACCAAAAAGCAGGACACCATTTGGTTTACTCCAATGCATTCTAAAGTCTAGATTCTGTTCCTACTGAACAGAATATTTTATAAAGTTACTCCCTTTAGTACATTTCTCTTTTTATTTTGTTGGACAAGAGAGCAAGGCCATTTCAAAAAGCTACTTTTTTTTTAAACACATCCAAGTCACACCATGGCCTCAATAAACTGTAAATGACTTCAACCTTTGGTTTGAGAGGGAAAAATGAGAATGGAGAGTGTTTGGCTCAGAGAGGCTGGCAGCGTTTGTCTGTGTCGTATTGAGAGCGTTTGTTTAACGGCAGATTAGAGAAGAGAAGGAGCAGCAATAAAGCCTCCGACCACGGGGGTCACCTCCAGGACCTGCTCGTGATTATTCCTATCGTTATCGTGCCACGTTTCATGCCGTCCGCTGCTAATTATTCCAGACACCTACGCAGGCTGCGTTCTTATGACTGAGCCCTGCTAAACTGCCCACTGCTGGACTCTAATCCTCACCCTCTGACGGACTAATGTGAAATATGGCGAACAGAGGCGGGAAGAAACTCCAGAAGCACATTAATCTAAACCCAGGGGCCATCAGAAGCAAAGATCTTCACTAACATTCCAAAACCAACACAACTGTTTCTCTTCTTTTTTTTGTGCAACAAATGCAGGCTGTGAGGCGTTGTGATGATCCCTGCATTCCCCAGAGTGCCTGCCCTCCTAAAATGTTTCTATTTGTTTATGCCTTAGCGAATAGGATTTGGGAAGTCTTATTCATGTGGGTGGTAATTATACTCAGATGGAGGCGCAGTTTTTGCTTTCTGCCGGGCTTTGTTTTTTTTCTTTGGAGCCAATTAAAAAGGACTGCTTGATCTGTTGTTTGTTTGGGAGAAAGTTGTGCATGTGTAACCGCGGTGGGTTTACTGCCGATCACCAAAACACTATCGACCTGGAGTCCTGTGTGCTGTTGACTGCTCAGACGGGGCTGATTGTCACAGCTAGCATCTGATCATTAGGTCTAATCATCTGTCTGACCCTTTTAGAACTGCTTAGTGTTAGCTTTTATTGGTCATTTGGGACATGGTACTGATAATTTTGTCACAGTGGCAGTCCGGCTGCTGTGTGGAGAATCATTTCAAATCACGTTGCACTGCCGCTAAACTTTGGATATGGAATGATTCCTCATCGGTTTTTGTTTAAGGGTGTCTTCCCAGCACACAGTTAGCTTTTGCTCTGTCTTCTGCATCACTCGTGAGCCACATCAGAGCTAACAGAGGTGAAGTGTCCGGTCCACGAGTCCAGAGAGGTCGAGCTGGAGCTACTCTCTGACCCAGGTGCAAATTAAATTAGAAATCGAAGGATGGAATGTCCCTGAAATAGAAGAAATACTCTCACAGATTCAAAACACAAGGGTTCTGCTTTGTATTGAATGTGAATACTGAACAATCAGACGGTGGTGTCTGACTTTGGGTGCTCAGTTTGGACTACAGACTAGTTTCTGTCCCATGACGGTAAACAAACGAATTATGCCGGACTACCTTATAAAGAGGTACATTCTTTCCAGATGAATCAACAATAAAAACAATTCTGCCTGCAGCATGTCCTTCTTTAACCCATCTCAGTCCCATCCTTTGAGTGAAATGAAATTTTCTGTCTTTTCCCCTTCTTTTAGCCGCCGGCTGCACATTTGAAGAGGATTCGGATCCTAATCTGTGTGACTTCACCCAAGGGGAGGAGGATGACTTTGACTGGCTGTTGTATCGGACATACAGTTCACCCTTTGCCAGCTCCGACCTCCTGAAGGGTGAGTTAGTGCTCCTTTTGTGCCCCCCCCCCTCGTCTCCTGAACCTGTCTGTTGTTTTAGACTGTAGCCACTTAAGTCAAATTGTGTTAGTATGGATTGCTTAGAGGGAATCCAGCTCGTCTTACTCTGAGACGCAACACCGCAGAGGATACATGAAGCTATTTTTTTTTTTTGCCATCATGTCAATTAATGTGTGATTCAGGCCCTTTTCAAATTGTCTGAATAATTCATGCACTACGTACTGGAAAAGTGAGAGTGCGTGCAAAGCAGTGCATGCATGAGTTTTGTTGTTTGCCTTCCTGTTCTGTCCATGTCCAGCTAACCCCAAGGATAATTTTATGTTAACCAGCTTCACAGGACTAATGGAAACCAGAGTTTTCCAGCCATCATCCTCTCCTCTGGTGGCTACTGGAGGGGATGACATGCATAGTTTTTTAGGCGCTCCTCCTTCCCCGCATTAACAAAACACCTACAGGGATCTGACAAAGAGAGGACTGCTGTTTCAGCTCCTCAGCAAAACATATCAGTGTCTGCGGGGGGTTCTCCACTGAAGTGCTTTTACAGAAAACTTTGCAATTTGATTAGGAATTAGTGTCCCTTTGGTGTAACCAGTCAATCCGTCAGTGAAATGGTAATGAGAGCTGAACACACCCATGCTTAAAAACATGCATCTAAGTGTATGTCGGCCACGGGAAGGAGCAGGCAAACAAGGACGCTCAGGAGTGGTAAGAATTCTTCATTTCAGACGACGGGATGGACGTGATTCAAAAGCAAAGTGGACAGTTGACATGGCTAATGTGAAGATAGATAAGCTGAAAGGAACAGATGGAAAGATGACAAGGGGGGATCCGATGTGAGCTGAGTTAAACGCAGATCCCAGGGGAGCATTTGATCCGATTCAAAACTATCAACTCAGATGGCCTTTGAAATGGTATAGAGCATCTTGAGCGGGTAAATGTCCCTTTTAAAAAAAAAAAGGTGGTATGATTTACGGCTCCGGGATTCCTTCTTATCTGAAAGTGGTTATCCAAATACAATCCTGAGCTGGATAAATCCGACATTTAATTCATAACTGCACCTCATTCACCTCCGTGTCATCAGCATTCAAGTGAGAATCCGCCTGCAGCCACCAGCCTATTCACGGCCAGCAATGAGATAATTAACTCTTCTCCCATCGGGTTTAATTAAAACTTGCTGCTATGGCATTTACAACAATCCAGGGCCTTCAGAGGAGCAGTACAGCACAGGTGGAACGAGGCAGGTACTGTAATCTGCACGGGCAGAGGCAGCAAGAGAGACTCAGCCCCCCCCCGATCGATCAGCTTTGGGCACCAGGAGACAAATTTGTTTTAATTTATTAGCCGCTCATCCTTCAGCGCCGTGCTAAAAGTAGTCCACAGCTCATATTAATCAGCTGACTGTTGTGGCTGCACGGTGACAGCCGCATTTCCTCGTCCTGTGAAACACATTTCCACTGTTAATTACAGGGGAAAGCGTTCTGCAGACAGGGGCATGGGAAGTTGTTGTCTTTTCCCCCCTGCTTTTTTTTTTTACTCAATCCCCCCGTGCGTTGACTTCTATCCGTGGATCACATTGAGCAGCCAAGGTGGGGGATAACAAGAGTTTATGAGATAAGGCTATTTACATTGGGCCGGCATTAACTTTGTGGGGCTGAAAAATTGGTGTCGAGGGAAGATTAGTAAACACAGCTGAGATAGCAGCAGCTTGTGGCTCCCAGGAGAAATTAGAGACTACCGCTCCTATGAAAGAGAAAGGAGTTTCTGGATTAAAAAGAGAAGAGAGGCTGCAGTGAGATCTTAATAAGAATGGCACATTTTATCGTGCCGGTCTTCACTTGGAATTGGATTGATGCTGGCTGGTTGATATGGTTAATCTTCGCCTCTCCTGCTGCTTTAATGAATGTGCAGGATGATGACCTTGTGAAGAAGAATGAGTTTGTGTGTCACGCATACCTTTTTAATGCTTATTTTGAGTTTTGAAAGTCGGGATCATTAGCGTAAAACGTTGTGGGCGTGCTGCGGGATCTTTTGTACTAAAGAACACAGGATTCTCCCTCAGGGAAGAACATCAATGTTGGGATGGAAACTCTTTTTCTGTGTGAATTGATGTGATTAGATAAACCATTTTAAAGCTAATTTATTCTCTTTGCCTCCACAAAGAAAGCAACTTATTAGTGAAATGTTAAAAGTCAAATTGATGCATGTTGTCCTCAACTTTTTACGCTTGCTTTTCATCCTGTGATTTGAATTTTATTTTCATTGAATTAGAAAGTCTCGACATCAACACCATGTCGTATTCCATGTTAATGCCTTGTTTTTTATTTCTAAGATATTCAAAATCCCTAACTGTGAACCAACTTTGAGCTGATCTGAAGTGCTGCTCTGACATGACAGAAATGATAACCGCGATATGCTAATTTCTCTCATCTACTAATAGGCCGGAGGTACGACATACACTCCACGCATCCCTCCATAAATTACAGAGTGGCCTTATGCAGCGGCCTTTGAACTAAACCCCTCAGATGGCCACAGTGACCTTCAGGTGCAGTGGGAAATGTTGCTGCTGTCAGCCAGCAGTTAGAAAGCAGTGTTTTATGCTTTTATTTTAACATGGCAGTGACCTATTCTTGGGGGGGAGGGAGCAGACACAGATGAACATTATTCATAGAGCGGAGCCATGGGTCAGTGTGCTGTTGTCACTCAGACTGCACAGAGAGTTGCAGCTTTTTAGAAATTCTTTCTATATAGTGTATACAATTCTCAAATGCAGTTCGTATTCCATTAAATGCTGTAAATAGTAAGGGAATGAACGTCTCAGTTCTTAATACAGCCAGAGGATTAACCCCTTATTTTATGATCCACGAGCATAAATGGCTCCTCTTTGATTGCCCTCGACGGTAAGATGGGGCTTTAGACTTCAGAAAGGTCAGAGCTTACATTAAGCATGTCTTTATGCGTTGTAGCGGGGGTCAGAGCCCGGTCAGTGGCTACATACGACGGCGGCAGACTCCATGTAATGACCTTTTTACGGAGCTAATTCACACACGCGTGTGTGGGGACCTTCATGTGTATCTTCAGCATCCTTTATCAATGAGAAGCTTCAGTGTGGCCTCTCCCCATCGGTCAGCTCTCACACCTGCTCGGCCCCATCAGCTCCATCACAGGGACCGGCTACACCTTATGTAGCTGTTGACATTGGCTCAGGGTTGGTTTGGTCAAAGCAGAGCGCGCACACAAAGTGTGCTGTGGAGGAGGTGTTGTGTAGTCTGAACTGTCCAACGGCCCTTAAAGGTTGAATAGTTAATCACAATGACTTCCTCTCATTGTTCCCTCTGGTGCTATACAGTCTTAGTAGATCAGATAAGCACGATTCCCTAAATACAACACTCTGGTACTAGATTTATATTTACACTTAATTTTGCTCCTTAAACCCAATGGTTTTCCATGCATTTTTCATTATTATTTCGGAACAGGAAGGGTAAAACTGAGAAGATTCTCTGCTACAGTATTTATATACTTTCATGTGTTTCTAAATGGCACTGCCGCTCAGCATTGAGGGCAATCTTGATCACTAGCGGCAGCAGTGACAAGCTTCTTGTAAGTGAAATCACCCATAATCACACAGCTGACAGCTGTTCATTAGAGCTATGTAATCTGTTATTAACGTCAGTTAGACAGACTCACCCTGAGCCCCGGAGTTTTGACGGAGATTCTGACCACTTTGGTGTGAAGGCGGTGTCTGGATTGTTTAAAAAGATTGTTCTTTTAGCCTAATAGAAGTTATGGGAGTAAGAAACACAACTGATGAATCCAGACAGCTTTCTTTTGGGTTTCTGTTTTTGCTCTCTAGTAACTATAATTTGTAGAATACATCTATATTTTGTTGAAAAATTGAACAGATGGTTATTGATAAAACATTAAGTGATAAAGATTCTAAAATGCAGTTTTAGTGTTATCTGTGGACGTCTAAGATGTTCATAAAAAAATTCCAGCCGCAAAATAGAGAGATTTTATGCATTATTTTTGAGCAACTTAGAGATTAATATTCATATATGCAAGAATTAAAATTCAGATGAAGATGTTGTAACCAGTGAAATCCTCCATTCCTGGCCTAAGATCTTACTCGCTTAATGTGTTTCAGCCTGCAGTCATGCACATTGTAACCATCCAGCAGGTTTGGTTTCACCAGCTGGTTTTTGCTCACTGGCACAGCCTCAGTCGGAGAGGGAGGAACCAATTAGTGAAATCAGCTGTAATTCTTGGAGGGAACGAATATCTTGTATAGCCCAGAGGAGACGATGCCGGCTTGCTGGGATTAGCACTTATGACTCATCACCTCCAGGCACAGATGATCATATTTATTGATCAGTTCTGCCTGAAAGCCTGGCCTCCTCGTAAAGCATCTCAAAAACGCCCATCGCCACACACAGAAGCTTTTTAAACCAGATGAATGAATAGGGCGATAATTTAGAGAGCTGCGCATCGGCTCCCTTTATGCCTGTCGGTGAGGTGGACTCATTACTGTGAACGATTGAGACATAGCTGGGCACGGCAGACATTTTGCTTTTCTTTGAAGCCCGCGGTCCGGCAGGACCATGCTCCGAGTCCATTCCTTTTGTTCTGTTTCTACCCAGCCACGCACACTCCCAGGTGATGGGTAGGTATGGTAATGCGGCCCCCTTTGGCTGTAGCTTCTGTCTAATTAGTGTCGTTTTAGAGGGAGAGCTAGAGGGCTTTTATGTGTAAGGTTGCAGGTTTAACAACATAATTGATGCTCTGGGAGCTCGCTCGGGATTGCAGCCAAGTAAACTGTCTTGGTGGACCTCCTTAACTCAGGTGAGATTAAGTGGCGAAACCGTTCAGCTCATGTGGATGACAAGTGCAGGGAAGCAGGGAGTTTGGAATCATTTGAGGATGGCGATTTTGCTCATTTGAGCTTCTTTGTTCATTTAAAAAAAAAAATCCTACTAATTTATTAATTCCAGCAAAGTTTATAAAAAGAGTCAAAAAGTCCAGCCAGGACTGATGGCATCAGGATGCTGCTGCAAACACTGGTGCTGTCATCACAGCTAGGGGTCAGTGCAGAGGAGCTAGTGAGGAAAACGGAAAACAGATATGACCAGTGGTCATGTTGTCGATAGATTCATGCATGTGTGAGATTTGAGAATGAATGTTTTTTTGTTTTTTTTTAAGGCGGAGAAAACCTGCAGAAACAGATTGAATTATAACAGAAAACAGCCGTAGATATACACTGAGATTCATATCACAAACGTTTGCAAAATGACAGAGAAACATTTTATCCCCCAGAAATCCCCAGGAGACGAGAGGTGAGCTGTGCTTCCTGTAGGTCACACAGAGCCCATGCTCATCAGGTTAACCTGGAACTGCAGCTGGTCAGAAACTCTCTTTGTTTACAAGGCGAAGAGATTCCGGCCACTATCACCTGCTTCCTGTGCTGTGGTCTAATGGCACTCCACCCTTGTTATGGTGGTTTCCAGCTTTTCCTGTGATGCCACCAATGTGTGAAAGAGCTCATATGAATATTAGGCAAAGTATAACAGCCTCATGTTCTCTGACAGTGGAGGGAACAGGTTTTGGATGAGATTTGTGATCTACATACCTATTTTCTCATCATTTTTATTTGCCTTTGCAGCAGTTTAATTTCCCTTTTAGATTATCGCAGTGCATTGAATATAAATTTCTGGTGAAACACACTGATCTATGCTAAGATCTTCCTGGATAGTGGGGATAGTAAAGGTGAGTCAGGTGACAAGTAGACTTTGTTGCTAACTAACAGATTTTCACCAGCCGCAGCGTAACAACGTTTTCTTACACTGATGAAAACATAAGAGCAGGCTTTGGATAAAGTAAAATGTAACGCTTAGTTAGATTTATGTAAAGATCTAATTACATTTTCATAGCGCATCTACGACTTAATAATATTGATCTGCAACAAGAGCACAGAGCTGGCGTCTGTGGCAAGCTTGTAAAACTGAATTTTATATCACAAGCGCTCTGTTATTTTCTAAGTAAGCAAAAGATTAACAGGCTTGAAGCATCCTCTTGAATCAATTGTGAACACTGGAATTAACTTGAAAGACATTTGCACTCACGCTCACTGGCTTTGAACATGTTCCTCTAAATATTTAAAGTTATCTTTCTTCTCACATTCTTCCCACATTCTCTGTGCCGATGCGTAGATTGGAAGAGGCTTTGTGTGTGTGCCGGCTGTGGGGGATTTCAGCGCCCCTTATCTGGATATGTCCCAACCTCTGCCTTTCCCTCTGTGGCCTCAGATCAACACGGGTTATACGCCACAGTGAGGCTTTTTAATGTAACCGTCAGTTTCCAGGTATTTCTCAAACATTCTGCTGGTGTGCAGACCTGAATTAAGCTCTTTGGATAGATGCGAGTCCAGAATGAGGAGACGTGGAGGCTTATCACACATATGTTCACACGCCTCTTCTTTTTGGAAGCCAAAGCAGAATATAAATCAGGGTTACATAAAAGCACATTTTATTTATTGACTAGTGGCACCAGGTGCTTTTTTATGTAAGACCTTGGGGTAATATTAGATCAGATAAACAAAGAATTAAAGGGCTGTTATTGTACTTCAACAAGGGTCTTATGACTTAGATTTTTCCCAGAACTAGAAAATCCAGTTAGAGTTTAAACGTGATTTTTTCTCATTTAGGCTTTCTGGAGAAAAAAAATGAAGATAAAAATAAAACGAAGATGCTCCTGTTCCTTCTGAGTAGACAAATGCCAAACCGAGAGATTTCAGAAGTTTTTACAGCTGTTTTTGTTACTATGTCCCTTCTTGGCTCAGAGCTGAATCATTGGTGCATTATCTTTGAACCCTTGTCTCAACTCGCGTATGGCATTATGATAGATTACCTACGATGTACATCATTGTTAGCCCTACATTAGGCCATAAAAACACATGGAGCTCTGCATTTTAAAGTTAAATTCAGTGTTATATGATACAGAAACAGTTATTGCCATGGTGGGCTATTTGAGCAGTTATACTTAGTGTCGACATTTTGGGCCAAAGCGGTATTAGCTTGACATTTGTGTGTTCTAACGACACGGAAATAATGGATTCAGCACGTTGGACTCTGATGCCTTGAATTCAACTACATTATTATGTTTCTCGAACAGTGAACAATTGTCTCATGACTCCCTTATAATTATGCTCTTCAAGCAACTTTTACTAAGACCATTTAACTCTTATCACCCCAAGAAGCCAGCTGTAATTTACAGTTAGAAAATGGTACGGTAAATAACAGCCTGATGTCAGAGAGTGTGTTTTTTCTTTTTAAAATTCTCATCTTCAGCAGATGTTTTGATCATTAATCAGGATGTGCCCGATATGCCCTCCGTTAGAGCCGTCTCATGCATGCATGCATTATCGGTAGTCTATTTTTCTATTGATATGAATAAAACTGATCACACTCGACTGCTTTAACAGCACAGTGTGGCAAATTAGTGCGGACCCCCGCAGCAAATAATACCTAAGGGATGAAAATGTCATTGAAACCTGAGTCAAAGTGCAGCTGCATTCTGATGAAAAATTGGTTTATTAAGATTTACAGAAAGAGGCCCTTGTGCCTCTGACCTCCTCTGTGAGATGAGGCTGTTGGGTTTGTCCTGGCCCGGCTCGCTGATTTGCCGTTTGAACGGCACCATTCTCCAGATCTTTCTTGATTTGCACCGTTAGATCGGTTGCGTTTTAAAAATGGGAATGAAACGTCGCGGGGATCTCCTGTGGGAGCGCGCCGCCGCCACCATCTGCTCAGAAATGCAGCGCCCCATGCCCCTCTGGGACCCAAGTTCATACTTTAGAGGCCCCGCTGGGGAAACTGGTTGCGACTCCAAAGATTTGCAGAGCAGATCCTGCTGCACCGCCGCGCTCACAGACAGGCTTGTAAAACCGCACACCCTTTCACTTTGTATTTCACAGCATCTTATATTAAATCTTTCAGTGTCTCAAAACACAATGCTAGAATTCAAATGAAAGTGTCTGGTACATATTTACATCTTCGGTCTCCGTGGCTGGAGTCGGGTTTAAGAGTCAGGTATCGTTCAGTTCTCCAACTTCTGTTTGTGCTTTAAGTGCCCTCACCATAATCACAGGATGGGAGGGAGCTCAATAAACATCCCTGCTAATAGCATGAGCTGAATCTATATGAAGCCATTGATCCTCTGCTGGGAGACTTAATGATTTCAGTGTGTTTTCTCTTCAGAAAGTGGGTGGCAATCCAGTGGCATTGAGAGCATCTGAGTGTAGGTTATTTCATCACCATTTGTTGCAATAACATTGATTTGAGATGTAGGATCCTCTTTAGTTAGCGCCTGGCTGGAGGCTCATGAAGTGCCAAAAGGGTCCTTTCGAGTAAAAGTGAGTGAGGACCAACCATCTTTTTCTTCTTCCTTGTCTTTCTGCCTAATGTGTAATCAATTGTTTCCATTTTCATTCTCACATACTTCCTCTCAGGTGGAATTTAATTCAGCGGCGTTACCATAATAACTCTTGTCGGGCACAAGTCTCTGTCAGTAATTGATATGTGGGCACCGCTTCTGGGTGGAGCCATTTGCATTAAATCGTGTTAACTGATATGATAATGAATAGGAAAGGCCTGATGCAAGCAGAATGACGGACTGGAGATGGATGGCTATTTGAATTATACACAATAAGTAATATATTATATCAGGTCTCATGGGTCCAGTGCTCTCTCTGAATTTGTTGCCTGTCTTTAACTGGGAACGGCTCGAGCTGCCTGGATATAAATAGTGCCGGGATGCCACATCTTCTTCATCTTCCCACCATTGTTAATGATATGTGATGTGGAGCGAAATGGGCATGTAAGGTAAAGATGAGACAAAGAAAAAAAAATCTACTCAGACAGGCGATAATATGCTGTTATTCAGAGTCTTATGTGACAGTCTGATTAGTATTCTGTCCATCTCTGTGCTTCTAACCAGGCTGTTGATAATTAGCTTCCCAAGCTTCACTAAACTTTATTATTCTCCATTAATGCACATGGAGCGTTTTTTCCTCTCTGATAAAAGATTTACAAAAAAAAGAGGCTGCAGTTGACTAAAAACAAGGATGAATTAGCTTCTGTGAAGTCGGTGACTAATTATTATTAGTATTTTCTTCTTTGCCTCTGTTCAAAACACTATCATGCTTAAATGAGCTAAAAAATTTCTTATCAGCCTCACTTTCTCAGGGGTCATAGTTCAAGGAGGGAATTATTGGAGCTGACAGCCTGTGAAAAAGCCAATATTTGAATCCAGTGACGGTGTTTGGAGATGGCAGATTTAAATTCTTTAAATTCCTCCATCCCCTCTTCATTTTGGGGATGGGATCTTGCTCAGCGTGGTGCTCAGATTTTAAATGAGTTGGAAGACGAGCTCTGCTATCTGTACTGACAGGCACCCTGAGTAAATGTATCACACTTGGTAGTGACATAAAAAAAAAGAAAAGATGGTTTGGTGCATCCATACTCTCCGGTGTTGGATGTGCTCATGTGCTGTACTGTATTCATTCCCCTCGTGGTGATTTTTTGTTTTTCCAGGTCACTCAAACGAGGAAAAAGGCTGAAAATCGTCACAGCTAAGGAATGTTTTTGATAGCATATTGTTATGGTGTCATTAATCCATCAACCAAAAGGCAGAGGGAGGGGAAGAAAAACTTGCGGTGTTTTGACAGCCTCTAGTTGACTGTTCATTATCCTCACTGAGGGAGTTTTTTTTAAACAATGCTTTATCATAATGTTCATCAAGATTTGCAGCCGTTTGACCTTTTGATGCTTTGGTCTGGTTTGATGTGTCAAGGTTTGAGGTGCTGTGTTTGGTGAGGGTTAGGATCAGGGTACATTATAACCAAACATCCATCTTCAGTGTTGTCCACATGTGAATAACTCTGGCCCCGCTGTAGGGGTGCTGGGTAAGTTGCTGTTTGTCGAATCAAGAACAAACCGAAAAGCGATTTGGTGCAAACAGAGAGATTATTGTAAATGTCTATGTTTTTCATCTTAAATGATCCAAAAAAAAGATTTTTAATTAGCACAGCTTTGAAGCATTTTGTATGGTGATTGTGGATACCAACACAAAAGAAAAGCACACCCTGTTGTGCAAACTGGCAGGTTTCATATGCCGCACACTCGCTCATGAAAAAAATGGCAAGTAAATGATTCATAGTTTAGTTGTGAGTTTAAGAGATGAAATAATGTGAGATCCAAACCCTTAGAAGTCGCAAGAAGTTTTAGAGTAATCAGCGTCCGCTTTAGGGGAATGATTTTCCTCTGCTGACATAAAAGTTTTCTAAGCAAAAGTCATAGCATAGTTGGAAAACCCTGTCTGAGTCTGTGGATTGGTCCAATTCCATGTCATCACTTAACATAATGTCCAATTTATGCAAAACAGCCACCATGAGGCAATGGAGTGAATAATGGGCCATGGGTACTCGGGTGATTTGGTGTCCAGTTTCATCACATTACTATGTTGATAAATGGAAACATTCCTCTAATCCCTTGATATCTTCTGTAAGCCGCAGTCTGGGATTTTTTCAAATTGTCATGGAGAGAAAACCTTCTATTTTACTAAATTGGGATGGGAAAGTTAATGTTCATCTTTGCTGTGATATTTCAGCTCATTACGACCAACTTTGACAGTCCTTTCTTGAAACGTAAACCTCACTTTTCATCTTCATCCTCTTCTCCAAAGACAGAACCAAAGAATGAGATGGGGAAAGGCTGGCTTACATGGGGATTCTTCACTTCACCGTCATTTGCGAGTCGGGGATGATGATATGTCTTAGAAGATTATATGCCTGAGAGACAATGAAGCCCTGCAAACACCGGACTTGCAGCAGACATAATATTTTCTGGTTGCAGAAGCCTCTGGAAGGAGAAATATTCAGTTTGAGTGCTGCCTTATGTGCTTTTATGGCATTGGTAAGATTACTGCATTCAATTCCTTTCTCACAGTCATAACGGTGTTTACTGCATCCATCAGATCTGCTCAGTGCCTCCTACCTTTGGAAATACGGACTGCAATTATAGAGTGTGAATGTCTCAAAGCGGTGGCAGTATTTTTTGTGATCACGATCAAATTGGAACGCTTGCTCTGGCCACAGTTTGAAACCCGGGAATGGCTGTGGGAGGAGAAAAAAATCTCACAATATTTTATGGAGAATGACACGAAGACATCAGAGCTAGTTGGAGCGTGGCTGCTTTTGTGTTGTTTGTAATTTCAGCGAGGAGCGTGTCCCTCAGAGGAACGCTCCCAGGTTGTTAAAGCTAATTACTGCTCTGGGTTCTCCACCAGGAGCTGTCTGACTGCATTCTGCTGAGATATTAATATCAGATGATGGGAATGAGGATGGTGGCACACGCCCTGGCGTACATGATGACACGCAGCACAGACCTGGATCCTGCACCACGCGGCGTGGCCACAGAGGGCCTGCATGCTCGGGCTGCACAGCCACCATCTTATGAAATGAAAACACTCAAGAGGATCAGCTTAGCGGCTTTTGTGCGACTTTTAAGGCGGCGCCGTTAGCTGAAATCTGGAAGCTCTGCATCAGTTTTATTGTGACAGCACAATTATGAAGCTCCGGCTCCCACTGCCGCTTCCTCGTCACCTTGCTGAGGGCCGTGCTCTCTGAAGGGAGCAATAGAAAAAGCCATAATCATAACTTCAGCGCAAACTCATATCCTTTTTACGTGCTTTGTTTGTAATGGTCGTCATCGCGGAGAGATCGGGGAGTTTCGAAATCTATCGTGTGGGAAATAAAAACGCGCGGAAGTCTGGGCGCCGCCGCTCCTCTGCTCGCCTGGTGCGTTGCCTTTGAGGTGGCGGGGCCAGTCTGTGACGTGCAGCTGGACGCTCCTGACCCGCCCGCATAAGGCCGCCACAAACAGCTGGGAGGTTTGCGCGCGGCTTCACCTAATTTATGGGAGTTTTCCCCTCGTTCGGATCCCATGCAACTATTTCTACGTGAAAAAACACACAGCTTCACAGCCCACACTCGTCGCCTTCTACGTGAGAAGACCCGTAACACACTGCATTAACACACTGCATTTATACACCACGATTCAAACCCTAACAATACAGTTAAGCTTGTGTGTGTCCCAGGGATTTGGTCCTCACAAAGCTATAGCGGTACGGTTGGCGCTCGGCATCCAGACCCCATGATTATAGTTTAACATAAACACACACAACTTAAAGTGCCTATTAATGCACATACCCACATGAGGAGATGTGGGAATCCGCCGCCGTCTAACCGCACATTTGCAGCTGTACCGCCGCTGTGCCCCGGCTTACCCACTCATTTTCTCCAAATGTTCCGCGCCTGTGTGACACTCCCGGTCTTATTTCACACCCAGCCGTAGCTTGACATGGAGAATGAGATGACATTGCTGCTCTGTTCGGGGGGCTCCGGCTGGTGCATTATGAACGCCCTCTCACACAGACAAGTTGCAGCAGACTAGACTCAGATCTTGGATCCTATTCTCTGGAGAGGGGAGCTCTCTGCAGCGCAGCGGGAACAGCTGAGCAGCAGATCCCGACATCCCCGACCTGTGCTCAGTGCCATAGGCATGCACGCCTCTGGGCGCATGTACCTCCACCCCCCCCCCCTCCATTTTACTCACATGTCTGGCAGCATGTCAGTCCCTGCTAGGCTCTCCATCTACACCTCATTACAGCGCTTTGTTAGGGCCTGGCACCCCTCGTCTCTTCAGATTTAGCTTCTAGACTTTCTTATCATTTTCAAGCTGTGTTCTCTCTGACTCTCCGGTGGTCTTTCACTTGTCTTTGTTGGATATAAACCTTTTTTAGGAGATACATTTTCAGTTCGATCGGCTACCAGCATGTTTTCCACTTAGTTATTTGAGTTTTTCTATTTATTTTTGTATCTACGGGCAAACTGTTAAGAGAAACCTATCATAAAGATGTGTAATTTACTTAGTTTCTGGGATTCCATTAAGGTGCCTTGAAGACTTAAAACTATCTCCAATAGGTGGATGATGTCTGAAAGTGATGTCCTTTAGAAAAGACCTGATCCAGGAGTATGTGAGGTCCATCTGGACCTTCAGTTGAACCACTAATCCAAACTTACAGAGGATGGATTTCCTCTGAACCCACACCTCAATATCACTGAAGCATTGCAGGGGGCATCTTGATAGAGAAAATAACTAATGGACGGCAACATCCAAAGAGGTGGAGAAGTCAGGAGGACTTTTCCTGCAGACTGCAGAAGACTGTGGTGGGCATACCAAATATTCCCTGTATATTTCCACATATTTCAGTAAATCACTGCTGCCTGGGCAGCCATGGGTGGCTCTAGACTTTAGCATAGTGGTTTTTATTGTCTTTTTATTGTCTCCCTCTGTAATCCTGTCCTCTCTCACCCTGTGTGATGTAAAGGTAAACGCACAGAGGCACACTTGCTCCAGAATAAATCCAGCCAATTAGAGACTTATCTGATGCTACCCTATTTCTGCAATAGACTTGGCTATCTATTTTTAATTGAATCGGGAGAGGAGCAAAATAAAGCAGATATTCCTCCCACATTTCTTGGAGCTTGATTACAGAGAGCGCAGACTGTTCAGAATTCCAGAGGCTGGGTCAGAGCTGTGCTATCTCCTTCTATGATTAGAGGGCCAGATAACCAAAGATTTATTAGCCAAACATCCCGACAATTAATTAGGAAGCTAGGCTAAACTAATCCCGTTTTCATGGGCTTTGGCGGGTCGAACTGCCTTCCATCACCAACAGGAAAAAAACGCTCCAAAGTCGAGGTGAACAACAAACGGTTATGAGAACATTTTTTCACATGGAAGTGTTGCTACAGCATTATTGTGTGTCTCATAGCCCTGTCCATGCGTGTGTGTAACAACACCCTGCAGGATGCTTCACTTGTGTAGATATGTGTAATAGGATACTTGAAGTGGGGCTGCTTGTTTACAGAGACAGGGTGCAAATATAAATCCTCCCTCTGACGTTATAAAGGTTGGACTTTATCCGCAGTTCAAAGGCTCTTCTGCAAACCCTGCTGGCTTTCAGACTCCTCCTTCATTTTCCCCTCTGCGTGGCTCCGCTTGACCTCATCTCACCAAGACCTCGTGCCCCTGTGAGGCTCGCCAGGTCATAGCACCACGCCGAAATGGGCAGCCTGCTCTCTCTGTTCTGGGCACGCTTGACATTTGCTCTCATAAGACCTCAGAGCCCTTAAACGCAGCGCACACCAGTGAGCAGATGGCCAAGGAGCTTTGTTTTGGTTGCTGAAGAAGCCTTCCTACTTTTGGACCTGTGCTATTTTTTGAGTGGAAAGAATCTCAATGAAATCTGTCAACGGATCGCTGTGAAGCACATTGTCTAGAGACGGGAGTAAAAAAATAAAAAAGAGGAAAAGAAATCATTCAGAGCTACATGATGAAGAACAGCCGGGCTGGAGGACATTTGTCAGACTGCTGAATGACATCATCTAAGCTCAAATGCATGGAGGGAGGCAGAGTGACACCTGAACATATGGCGTTAAAAGCATTCCAAAAATATATATCCGCTGTTATAATGACTAAAGATGAGGGAAAATCACAGTCACGGGGGCTAAATACCTGCCTCTTTCAATAACCACATTTAGATTATTTCTCACCTTGACACAAATGGTTACATTAATAGTCTTATTTCTCCCCCCCCTCTTCCACTTACTCATTACATGTAAATAACGCTTTGGTTAATATTAAACTCTGCATCGGGGAGTGGAGTGAATCAATTATACACTTAGAATAAACTCTTAATCTGTGCCGGCTCATATGACATTTCGCGTTCCAATTTCCTCGCCCCCATGTTTCTTTCAACAAGAAAGTATTAAGATCAGATTCATATGCATGGAAAATGACATTTGAAAAAATAATTGCCACATAATGCAGTGGCTCAAAAAGAGCTCCAGCATAAATATTCTTTTCTCTCAGAGAATCAGAATGAGTAAAGTAGTATTGTCAGTGGTTTGCTCAGTGTGCTGGAGAGGCCAAAAGTTCTCAGCAAAGTTAGAAAGTTTTCCCAGAGTGCTCATTCTTTTTCAAGGTGTGTGTTGTTCAGCCTTCGGCTGCAAGTAAGGGCTGAAAGTTGCATTTGTACTGTAAGGAACTTAAATTAGTTAAGGATAGAACTCTTTTAGTACCTGAAAAAAAAAAGTCAGCCATCAGCAAATTTGAAGTTTGTTTTTTGTTTTTATTTCTTAAAATTTAATTTCAACTTTCGGAAAATTTGCTTCCCCCCTTAAGCCCAGTGAGCTTTTCATATACTTAGAGGCTCCATCTGTTAACAATCTAACATCCATATGTCTCCTGTTTATTTTCTAGTCAGTGGAAGGTATAATGATTAATTTTCTGGACAAAATATCATTGACAGCCCAGTGTGACGCATGTAAAAGCAGGACATTTAAAAGGCATTACATTTGATATTAAATTACAAGTGATGATTATTTTTTTCCTAAGCAACACTTTCTTGTGTTGAAGTTGTTTCTAAGACAGAGATTTGGTTAAAAAAACTTTGACCCCATTTGAAATTTTTTTAGTGGCACTTTCCAACACAATGGAGTACAATAAATCCTACTTTCTATACAGCAAACCTAGTATTCTTCTGTCTCCTCTTTTAAAGAAAAACAAAAGTGAAACTTCGAAAGATATTCCTAACAATACAGCTAGACCCAGAACAAGGGCCCCCAGGGAGGAGGAGGTCAGGGAAGGTTTTTTAAGCTCAGCATCTTTCATGAATCGAACGTGCGCACACCTCTGGGAAGTAACTTAAGACTAAGTTCAAGCATAAATCGGAGTAGGTTTTTACAAATGAGGCCCCAGATCTCTGCCTATGCACCTGTTCAGACGGTGAAGGTCCTCCCGGCTTAACAAAGTCAGCCCTGAGCAGAGTTCTCCTGGCACCCTGTGAGCTAAAGCCAGCCGGTGCATCTTTCAGTCTCTGTCCATCTGGCTCTATTGTTGATTACAGACAGCTTGGATGTAGAGGCAGAAATAGGGCCCAGAGCTCGCAGGAGCTCCCTTAGGCTCCCGCTTGGCAGGGTTTTTCAGTTTCTCTTCCTCAAACCCTGTGAAAGCGCGCTCCACAGTCTCCACGGCTGCCTAATGGCCACGCGGCTGCTCTTCAGAGTTTGGCAGTTGACAGTTTCTCATCCTCTTTAAGCAAGAGGTGCAGATAAAAGCTCTGCCTGGAAACGAGGTGAAGTAGACTCCGAGTTTTCCTTGGAGATTTAAAAAAGTAGGGGAGTTTGGGAAAGGAGCTTTTTTTGTGCTGTGGTTTATTGATTGTTTTAAAGGGAGCTCCAGAAATGCAAGAGATGGCTGCTCTGCCATTCTGTGAATTAAGCACTTTGCTAGCTTTGTCTGCATAAAATTCCCACATGGCTTGCTGACAGCAAAGAACAGATCTACAGAATACTGACAGTACAAGAAGAATGCAATATACTAATGTTCAGTTATTATTTAGAGGGACACACTGTGGCATCAAAATTCAGATTAAATGACGAGGACTTTCAACAG